TTATCAAAGAAATTTTTGTATTACGACGACTTTATGGGTCAACATTTGACAATTTCAGCCTCATCGAGGTCGCAGATAAGATCTGACTTGTTCATGGCAGCTTAAGCCTTTTCCACAAACAGTAAGGATACGAGCTCTATGGCAAGCCAACAATAGGCTGGGGCTCCAAATACCACAACCACTTATTTCACCATGTGCCCATTTATCCTTCATCAAATTATACCGAAAAATCTGTTAAACTAAGTATGTCTAAATTTTTTGTAAAAATTAGGTGAAAACAAATGCCATCGAAACCAACAAATCAACACTTTCGGACATCTTTAATTATATTTTTCCGTTGATTTAGTGTCAAAACAACTATGACAATTTCTTGAAGGTCACTACAGCATTAGAAGATCTGAGTTAGATTAGTTGGATTTGAGAGTGTAGAGTGAAAGAAAAACAATAAGAGAGAGAGAGTAGCGGATGATGACTTTGGGTTAGAGGGGAAGGGAGTCAATGAGGAGGATAAAAAAGTAAGAAAATACACTGGTCGAGGGTAAATGAGTCAAATTACAATCATAGTTAACATTTTTAATAGACAAAACCTGATAGGGGACGGTAGTATGATTTCAAATAACTAAAGGGCTGTCTCTGAAATTATGCGAATCTACAGAGGGCGTCATTACAATTTTCCAAAAAGAAAAGCAAAAAGAAAGAAAAGCTGAGTCGGTCTCGGTCACTCTGCCCTTTTCAGTCTGTACTGAGTGCTAAACCATTTTTGAGAAACCAAATCGAAACTCTCCTTTCCTTCCTTCTCTCTCTCTCTCTCTCTCCAGTCACCTCGTCTCCCTCCCTCCTCTCTTTTTGGATCACAAACTCATCAAAAATAGCAAAAATTTTCGTCTTTAACCCGATCAAAACACACACACATTTCCCAATTTTCGCCATTAATAAAACAAACAAACAAAAGCATCAAATATGAAGATAGATCTGAACTCAAGAACATGAAACCCAAATCCAAATCCAAACCCTCAAACATCTACTCCATTCCCACCACCACAACCGCCAATCTATACATATATCTGATATCTTTGATTTTCTTGAACTACACCCATGTCATCAAAAGCCGATCATATCCATTCCCATGATTCTCTTTTGCCTTCCGGAGAAGTAGAGTCTGAACATCAGCCGATTGATTCTATTTCCAAGAGAACCCAAATCGTTTCAATCCCTCCACAACCCTGTTCGCATTTGTTTCAATTCAAATCCAAGAACGGGACCAAACCCTTCCGTGCCCTTCAAGATTGCCTCAGGATAAAACCCCTAGGTCGCGCCTCGATCCGTCGGGACCCACAAGAAATCATCCGCTGTAACACTTGCGGTCACGCGCCGTCGCGTCTATACGCTTGCGTCGCTTGTGCCGCGGTGTCTTGTCAACTCCACGCGCCGTCGCACGAGGTGGATTTTCCCGGATCTGGTCATGACATCGCGGTTGACGTAGACCGCGCCCAACTCTTTTGCTGTGTCTGTTTGGATCAAATCTACGACAAAGACTTCGATGCGGCGGTCGTTTTGGCGCAGACCGCGGCTTCGACCATCGGATCGATCCGCGCACCGCCGCCGGAGAATTTAAGGAAGCGGCGGCGCGTGGATTATCGTCCTTGGACACCTGATCTGCAAGAACGCGACTTGATCGGTGAAAAATCGACTAAATTACCGAGTTCTGAAAGTGATTCGGGTTTGGATTCACCGTGGGGATTGAGAGGGCTTAACAATCTAGGAAATACATGTTTCATGAATTCCATATTACAAGCTTTGTTACATACTCCACCATTGAGGAACTACTTTTTGAGTGATCGGCATAATCGGTATTTTTGTCAGCAGAAGAGTAATGGGAGGAGAAATTCTGGGAATACTAATACTAAAAATTTGCGGTTGTGCTTGGCTTGTGACATGGATGCGACGTTTTCCGCTGTGTTTTCAGGGGAAAGGACTCCGTATAGCCCCGCGAGATTTTTATACAGGTCTGCATTGAGCTCTTGTTCATGATGGTATGATTGTAATTTGTACTGTAGTTGTTACAGCATATAAGAAGGGATTTTGTGTCAAAAATTGCGGTTCTGTTCGGGTATCTACCACTTGTGATGGTAAATGATGTATTGGCAGGTTTGCGTCGAACTCATGTTAATGATCTTATGGTTGTAATGTGATTGTTCCAATATATAAAAAGTGCTTTTTGTTGAAAAATGCGGTTATGTATGGATATTTGTCACTTTTGATAGTGGATGATGTATTGCTAGTAACTGATAAGTTTGTGATCATGAATTTTGTAGTCGTGCCATCTGACAGTAAATGTGGCATAGGTTTGGATCAGCTCATGGTACAGGCTCATTCTTTATGTATTGAAAATTTTCGAAGCAGAATTAATGAATGAGTTAGAAATATTACATTGTACTGAACTATCTAGTTCCCTTGGGTTTATCTAGTTAATATCATCTTGGGTTTTTAGGATGTGCAGTTTGTGACTAAATGATTTCTGTTCTTATTTTTTCAGTATGTATTTTTGAGTGGGGTAAATTTTTGCAGTTGGTGGCAGCATGCGGCAAACCTGGCAAGTTATGAACAACAGGATGCACATGAATTTTTCATTTCAATGCTTGATGGGATTCATGAGAAGGTGGAGAAGGATAAACGCAAACCCCAGAGTCAAGGTAAATGCTGGTCCAAAACATTCTCTTAAATTTCCTTTTCTTTTTAGAAATGTACTTGGCTGGAAAACTAGGCACTAAGCAATGAAAGAGGTTATTGCTATATAGGTTCCAGTTTTAATTACCCATGCTAGAATATGGTTTATTTGTTTTCAGTTGTTAAAATTTATGAAGGTGGTTGTTGAGTTCATGTGCCTAGTTTGCAGTAGTCTAAAGTAACTTTGTAGCTCTCTGGTCTTTTTTTGGATCCCATCTAGGAAGTTTGGTTATGTTGTTAGGTGCTATTATTTTTTTCCTAGACATGTTTGTATGGTGAACATAATTATTGAATTTAGATGGCTCGGCATATATATATCTTTTTGTCAGACTTTTCTATTTTGTGGCACTTCAAAGATTTTTTGTGGTTCATGAAGTTAGAATGTAGACGTATAATTTGATCTTGTGTTCTTGCAAAGTGTACATTGTGATGGTAAGTTCAGAGTACAAGCTCATTTGACAAACTGTCTTGTTTAGGACAATCTTAAATTCCTAACTCTTTCAGTATTCTCCTGAAAACTTTTAAGTATGTTAAGATTAGGAGACACTTGGTGATCTTTCATAAGCTTAGGTAATTAGGCAACATTTTTTGTGAAATTTAGTGTCCAAGTGGCACCACCATTGTGACTAAGAGCTGGGAAAGATTTTCTTAACAACCATCTGATGTCACAATCTTCTCGGATCTAGAATTTTCATTCTGACCAAGTTGATCTAAAATTTTTGACAAAGATTAGAAAGTAACAACAATATTCAACTGCAGGGTGTGAGTTTAGGTCTTCATTGCCTTAGGCTTTGCCAAGTGCTCCCAGATTTAGGGCTAATAAACAATCAGCAAGCTTGCCATCTGCTTCACTCGAGTAAGTCTCATTTTCCTTAGTCTGCTTGGTTTCATCATAGGATTGTCTTCTGTCACATTCATTCTTATGTTAATTCCACCTGTGTCCTTGTTAGGGTCTCTATTTTTTGGCGCAGCTGATTCGAGCCTGGAGAATTTCAAGGTCCATGCTAGGTAGACAGCCAGGCTGAATCCTTATGTCAGATCCTTATGATCATATGTTGTTCACAGATCAAACATTTTGTCGTCTTTTCTTTTGATGGAGATATTGGGATACCATTTGAACTTCGTCATCTTTCAATCAGTAAAGGTGCTTTTTGGGATTATTATGGGACAAATCCAGTACCTCAAACAGCAACTTTGTCGCTACATCTTCATGACGGTGCTGTTCTTTTTTTCTATCTGTAGCTGACCTTTTCTTTCCATTAAATTAAAATGAAGTTACATGTTGTCTTTCTAATTGGTTTAAATGCACATCTGCCATTAATTGGCTAAAAGTCTAAAACAAAATAAACATTTCACATGGGCTTTAGATATGTTGCAATACGAATACGTGGTTATCATCTTATAATGATCTATGAATTCCAGAACAGTTGATTATCATGCTTATACAAAACAATAGATAGAGGGGGTTAGAAGTTCACGTAGAAGGCATTATTAAAGGATGGTAGTAGAATCAATAGTTGATCAGCAGTGATCCTTTGTTATAGAGAACTTGCAGGGTTGATCTATTTTGGAAGTGAAGAAGTGAATACATAATTCTGTGTGCTGCTTATAAACCTTTCAGTGGAACATCAGTGGCTTAACATATTATTCTTACCCTTGCAAGATGGTTGAGAAAATGTTTGCATTTATATGTCCATAACTATATTGAATATTTCAGTTGTGACATTAAAGAAAGAGGTTACCTGGATTTTGTTATTATGAATATCTGTGATTTAGTTTTGACACAAAATAAGTTTGTAAGATTTCACCATGTTGCAGGCAGTGGAGATTGTTGTATTGCTCATAGAGTATTCTCTGGTATCTTGCGATCAGATGTTATGTGTACGGCTTGTGGCTTTACTTCTACAACATATGATCCATGTGTAGACATCTCATTGGACTTGGAACCGAACCAAGGGGGTTCTGCTAAGATGTCATCCACAAAATCTCATCATTCTTTCAACGGGGAGGCAGACCAAAGCTGTGGAATATCTACCCTGATGGGATGCTTGGACCGTTTTACAAGACCCGAGAGATTAGGTGTTGACCAAAAATTTTTCTGCCAACAGTGTCAAGTGAGACAGGAATCTCTCAAGCAGATGTCCATAAGAAAGCTTCCATTGGTTTCTTGCTTTCATATCAAAAGATTTGAGCATTCTCCTGTCCGAAATATGTCAAGGAAGGTTGATCGCTACTTACAGTTCCCATTTTCCTTGGACATGGCACCTTATCTCTCTTCCTCTATCTTGAGAAGTCGATTTGGAAACAGAATTTTCTCTTTTGATGGGGATCAGTCAGAAACTTCAAATGAAATGTCTTCAGAGTTTGAGTTGTTTGCTGTTATCACTCACACAGGCAAACTAGATGCAGGTCATTATGTTACTTATTTGAGGTTAAGGAACCAATGGTACAAGTGTGATGATGCTTGGATCACTCGAGTTAACGAGAATACTGTGAGGGCAGCACAAGGATATATGATGTTTTATGTGCAGAAAATGCTTTACTACAAAGCAAGTGAGAAGTTGGTTGCCTCATGAGAGGGTGGCAGGCACAGAGAATTGGTGCTGAAAAGCAACTGCACATGATGAAATTGGAACAGTTCATTGCGATTCATGGTACCCAGAAATTTGTGTGTCAGTAAAGTACCACAGCCATCTGTGCTCACCATGACGATTGATGTCACTAAATGGCTATCATCATCAGTAAAGGTCAAGCAGCCCTCTCTGCTCTGAGTATATCTTTGATGGGTAACTCTAAAATCTCAGTTGGAGCATACTTGTGAGCCTGAATTTTTGAGGCACTCTCCTGCATTCGGCCATAGATTTTATAAGTATGGTTTCCTTAAAAAAGCAATTTCAATTGGTTCATTTTTCCCCAGCTCATTCAAGTGGTGTTGGTGGGTTGATGATTTTTTCCTCATTGAATATGTGCTCTTTACTTTGAGTTGTAGTTTACTGGTGTACTAATTTCATACATGGCATACTAATGTTAGCAATCAACTAAAGAAGCTTTTTTGACCTATACGGGCCTTCAATTAACTTCTCTCTTGTGCCCCGCTGATTTGTTGTTGATCAGAGCATCAAGAAGCACAACCAGATTCTACTTGTCTAACTCGTTGTTCATCCAAGGAGGGTGGTTGCTTTTCCAAACTCCCTACATTCATTTGTTTGAACAAAAGATGGCATTGCTTCATCCATCTGAACATTTTATTGTGGCTGTTGATTAATAGAAGCCTCTCTCTCCCTTTGATTTTTCATTGGAATACCCGTCACTATATTTGGCATTTGTGCTTTTGTTTTGGGTTCGATAAAAACTAGGTGCATATAACCCAAGGTAGACTATAAGACAGCTTAGCAAACTAGTCCTAGGTAAGGGGACCAACTCAGGCTTTGATGACAAAGGTTGCTGTGTAAAGTTGGTACCAATTCCATTCTGGATGTTGTTTTCTTGCCCTCGGATCTTCTCAGCCGGCGGCAACGTCTTATGCATTGTTTGGTTGGTTAATGAATATGTCATGCTAGGGGTAGTTTATTTAACCTTTCCTTCTAAGGAGACCAAACAGAGCTCTGGTCAGTCTATTTTCCTTCCCCATCTGTCAGGGTGTCTTGCTCATCTTAACAAGGTTAGATTGCTATACCCAAAGAACCGTTTTTTGGTATTGAATCCCCCCCCCCCCCCAAAAAAAAAAAAAGCAAAAAAAATACAGATAATACTTTAATATTGTTAATGACTATTGAGTGTTTCTCTCTGACCTGGTTTTGTTTTTATTTTTACTTCTTTGTGGGGGAGGGGATTGGTGGCGGTGGCGGTGGAGGAGGATGGTGATCCTAAGGTCAATTGGATAAATTTATCAAATTTGACTGGTCTGATTATTTCTTAAACCAGCCACATGAAGGGTAAATAAGTCAGTTTGGCCAAATTGTTAATAACCCAGAGACTAAAACCTTGCATTGGGGTTCTTGATTTCAATTATTTTGTCAGAGCATTCCAAGCAAAGGTGTTAAACTACTTGTCTAAGGAAGCATTAGATGAAGAGGAGTTTGATTAATTTTATTTTGGGCACTTCTTGTGACTTTGTATAAACAAATCATTGTTACATAATTAGTGCCCCCAAGGCTATCTGTTTTATGTGATATGTGGTCTAAGTAGTAATGTATCCATACGAGCTCCGGCCCTCGGCATCTCGAATACAAAAGAAAATTGTTCATTGTTGTTGTTACTTATTCAACGGTTCATCTTTCATAAATCTGAGAAAAACGGTTTTCATTTGAGAAGTGACGTTGAGATTGGACACGTGCGATAAATAATAAATAATAAAGAAAGCAAAAGGCGCCTAGAAAACAAATACTAGAGTGACGCCAAAAGGCCTCTGGCAGCTTTACTACCGCCTTAAGCAAGCAATTGGTGAATGATTCCAAATTTGTGTACCTCACTGTTAAAACTGGGTGACAATTTTTGATGAGACATGAATTTGAACGATTTAGAGTTCTTGATACAAACTCAAAAATTACACCCCCCGCGAAAATGAATATTAAGTAAGCTAAATCAATATGATTAATTCAATAAATGTTGATACTAACCCTTACTTAATCATAGTCTTCACAAAATACCCTGTCGAACAGAATTCATTCAAGTAATAGCTGAAGGATGGGTTTACAAACCCTTCATGCATCCACTTTACAAAGAAAGATATTAGTGTGAAATTAAATGAACAACCATTTTTGTTTATACCCTTGAAGAGAAAGTGATTTTCAGATTAAACTACTAGGAAACATGAAAGCCCCCATATCATGGAATCTGTTATAATAAAACTTCCCAAATATACAACATGAAAACAAGATCCCTATAGCGGGGGGAGAGAGAGAGAGAGAGTGTGTGCGTGCAAAGAATGAAAAAATTAGATTAGCAGAGAGAGAATGAAATTCAAGGGTTTGGACAGGCAGATGCCGGGGAAATTCACTGTACAGTAGAAGAAAAACGCGTCGTTGATTTGTGAAGCCCAAAACGATGTCGTTAATCTTAACTAATATCTTTGTAAGATTAAAGGCTTAACTAAAATACAATTTTATTAAATTACACATGATATATTTTTAAAAAAATTTTATTCACACCCTTTTTAAATATGTATATCTTTAATGAGGTCCTCTCTATTTTATAAAATTTTTTACGTATTAAAATTCGATTTGAGTTTTTAATTGGCTCAAATCAAATTTTAATTAACTTGTACTGAATTTTAATATACCCAAATTTTGATACTATAAATTTTAATTGACTCAAATTTAAATATGTATAAAATAAATTTTAATCAACTTGAATCGAATTTTAATTAACATGAATTTTAATAAATAAAAAAATATAAATTTTAATTGACTCGAATCAAATTATAATAGGCACTAATAGCTTAGGTTGAGCTCAAATCGGTTCAAATTTTAATACTTAAAAAAAAAAATTAATAGGCTCAAATTTTAGTGCGTAAAAAAAATAAAATTTAATCAGTTCGAATCAAATTTTAATATGTAAAAAAATTAATTTTAATCGGCAATAATTCTAATTGAATTTTATGTAAAAAGATTGTTCGATGTTTATGTAGAGATAATTTTGATATTCTAGATGATTTTTTTTTTTTTTTGGGTTAGAAATGGTGGTTTAAATTTTAACTGCAGGAGGTGTCGATCATATTTTGAATAATAGAAAGATCGTCTTTTAATATATGATAAAATAGAAGGGGAGTGATTGAAATTGTTCCAAACTTTTTTAATGACCTCTCGCCAACGAAAACAGCGCCACAAGTGAATTTGTCATCTTCTTCAAGTACTCTCTCTCGCCCTCTCTTTCTCTCTCCAAATTTATGCGTTTTCTAGGGCTCAGAATCACTACAACGTCGTTTTTGTGTCTTATCTAATAAAATCCTATCCTCTCCTTCTTCCTTTGTCTCTGCATAATCAAATCATATATAAAAGGTTAGGGGTTTTAAGTCTCCAACCTCGAATATTTCAATTCTGATTTGAAATTTTCAAAATTCAATTTTAATTTGTTTTGGGTTAGAGTTCCTTTTGGTTTGGTTTTAGACTCCAATCTATTTTCTTTTCAATGTTTAGCTGATTTTGTTATCTGGGTTTGGTTTAGAGTTTTTATTTTTTTGGTGTTCTTAACTGGGTTTTGCTTAATTTAGTGTTTGGTGATAGAAAAAAAAAAGTGAAAATGAAGATGCTAGCTGGTGGTACTAACCTCATCATGTATATTACGTGGTAATTTGGAGTTGATGAATTGGATCTTCTGAACGCAGAGTGGTTGTATTCTGATAAGGTAAAGAAAAGGAAAACCCTTGTTTTTCGATATGTTTTTGCTTTTGCTCTTTTCTTTGTTTAGGTTTCCTGTTTTAGCTGCTATTGTTGTTGTTGTTGTTGTTGTTGTTGTTGTTGTTGTTGTTTTTGTATGTGCCTGTAAGAGTAGGAAAGAATGGGATGAGCACGAGGAATTTGTTACTTAACTGAGTGATTTAATTCAAGAATGGAACAAAATCTTGTTTGTATTGAGAACATTGATATATTGATTTGTTTGTCTGCGCGAGTCAGGAACTGTGAAGACAGCTCAATGATGGAGACTACATAATTAGTCTTGTCTTCATGCTGGAGAGATCAACCATGAAGCTTGTCTTACTTAAATGACTAATTGGATGATTTGAAGATTTGAGGAGAGACTTTAACTAGCTTCACATTGTTTGCACTTGCATAACCACATGATCCCGTCTGTACTCTCTCGAGTGAGAATATGGTGTTAATAAGTTATAACTCCACAAGAATGATTTGGGGGCAGGATAATTTTTTTTCATGTTGCAAATATAGTTAGTTCATATGATTGATTGGGTTTACATCCTTTTTTTTTGGGGTATGGATAAGGGCTGGTTAATTCAACATATGTTGCAATCCAATCAATGACCTTTGTTGCATGTTTGAAGTTTGGAACAAACCCTTTTTTTAGAGCAGTAGCCTAAACCCTTGTAACTAGGATAAAGTGCCCTTAGCATTATACTGTTTTGGGTAAGCATGCTAAAACTTAGAACGTGCATTATTCCTAAGGCCAGGAGTAGAACAATTAAGATAGAAACAGGAAAACTTAAAGACTGATGAAATTGACAGTATTTTTGGCAGCTTTTGGTTGGTTACTTGTACAGTTGGAAAAGAAGGTATGAAGCAAATAGTCTGTTTGGTATGAAGGAAAATGGGTGGATGGAAAAAGGGTGGATGAAAAATAAGAGGGAAAGTGATGTTTTCCTTTGTTTGGTTGAAGAAGGAAAAAGGAGAGGAAAGAAAAGAGTAAGGAAAGTGTATACCTCGCGCTCACCAAATTCAATCCGCCCAAATTCGGGCGGAATAATAATTGCATTTGTTGAATTACCTTAGTGCCATCCAAGTGGCTGCTGGTCTTACTGTTTTGGAAAAATAAAAAACATGTGGGGTCCACCTTTTTTTTACTTCTTTTAGACAAAGAAAATAATGTGGGGTCCACATTTAATAGGGCATTTATGGTATTTAACATATCATTTATTTTTTTATTTTGTTTTTCATTCTAAATAAAATAATAAAAAATTTATCTATCTCACTTTTCCATCCTTCCTATCAAACAAGAATAATGGAAAACATCTTTCTTTCCTCTGAGAATGGAAAGTTCATTCTCTCTTATTTTCCATTATTCCTACCAAACATACCATAAAAGGTACTTCAAGAGTGTAATGTTATTGAAAAGTGGAGGATACCATTGTATGACTATGGTAATGTACAATATTATGAGACTTGATAGTAACACCTTTCGAGCGCCGACACTTCTTGTACACTCTCCACATGTGTACGATCAGTTAGTCAGATGCATGGTTAAGAAACAAAAATCTTATCCTGATACACGTGTCTGACACTTTTTTGGTGACTTATTTGACATTTCTTAGGTCCTATGAGTCAAAATAAAAATGTGGTGTAAATTGCTTGGACCCTTGCTAATATGCGATAAAGAAATCCTAGAATTTTGAAATAAAACCATTGAGTTCCTTGGAATAACATATGAGTGTCAAGTCTAATCAAATTTAAGTTTTACCCAAAATATATTGGGAAACACCAGACAAATAAACGTTTACTAAAGAAGAGAGCCCAATAATAGCTCTATACTTTCTATACCATCTATAAGAATGGATAATTTTTTACCAATATGGTCCAATTAATAAAAAAATTCTTGTTAGAATACCACACCTACTGTTTGCGTAATATAAAGGTATGATTTTCTTAGATTTCATAAATATATGAACGTATATATCGATAAATGTGGTCGTGTTCATGTCCGTGTCCATATCCTAAATTTTTTGTGATTTGGCGGCTGCATTCATCCAGTGGCACATGTCAGGGTATGTGCTTCACAGATACTGAAGATTGAACAGAAGTACATGAAAAAAGACCGAGGGTATTCTTATTTTCTGGATGGATACAGCATACAGGACATCTTTTGATCGTCTAAAACTTTTCTAAAACTGGATTATCGTCAAATATAGAAGTCTATCACTATTTAGAAATTTTCGCTATAGTATTATTTAATAGTCAAAATAATAAATGGGGCCGTAACATTTTTGATTTGTCATTGATAGCAAGATTTCATTTCATCTAAATTATTGCTTTTGATGCTTGTTTACTGTACAGGTTGTTATCTCTACTCCACGTAGGTTTTGAAAATTTCCTCATCTACTTCTTGTGTCGACTCTGGTGCTCGTAGAGAGCAAGTCAAACTGTGCTTTATGGTACCTTTTTGTCATGTGCAGGAAGCATGATGGGCATTAAGGATTGGATTCTCTCTCAGTTGTTATCCAAGTCGTTGGTCTCGTCAAGACCACTGTCAAACAGTGACAGCTTTCTTGAGGAGGAACATTTAAGTGAAGAGTTTGGCACCCAAGGTATTACCTTGTTTCTTCCTGATTTAGGAGTGAATTGAAGATTGAGGTCAGACTTAGAGCGTTGTCAAGTGCTCATTTGCACAAGTGATAAGTTGTGGGTTCAAGTCTTGGTATCAGGCTCTCCAAAATGAGGATGGGGCAGCCGACCATTTACCTCTCCCAGACCCTAGTCAAGTGCTATGTGCTACCATGTTTTACTGTTCCTGGTTATCTATTTTTGAAGTTGATTCCAAGCCATCCTCCCTTTGTCTTTTCTTTTCTATGATAGTGGCATAACTAAGAGGAACAAAGATGAGTCATGAGGGTTCTAGCCATTTGTTGGATTGAATGTGCTAGGAGGAGATTATCCATCCTTTCATCTGACTTCACAGGGCTCTGATATAGTTTTGTTGAAAAGAACTCCAACTATGCCCACTTCTTTTTCAATCCTCATTTGTTACACTGTAGTCATAACTGCATATAGTGAAGATATGATTTGTTTTTTTTCCTTTTCAATAAGAATTCGTAGAAGCAGATAGCTGATATTGGTAGTAAAGTATCAACATGTTGATGTTAAGGAAAGTTTTCCACTTCATTTTACGCTCACTTTGACGTAGAAGTAGATTCTAACAATGATGTGGCCATAATGGGCATCTTGTTTCTAAGGGTTTTGTGTAGAACCTGCAATTACATTGGGATGCTCAATTGCTCATCACAGAGATATGCACCTACTTGTTGCCATTCTAGTTGCCATTTTGCTTAAAGCATGTTTCAACAGCAGTGTTAAACTTTTTTAATACGTCAAGATACCCATGTTGATGGATTTTGTCTAACAAAACTTTTTTGCCATTTTGTTTATTAGGTGCAGCTCATTCTGTCAATTCGGTTTCGCTGCCAGTGGCTGCTGATACATCTCACTCTTCCAACGTTAGTCAGGAAAATCAGCATGGTTTCCCTTCAGATGATGCTTTGATTGAAAGTCCTCAGCAGCCTCATGTTGAGACACATGAGGAAAATTTAGAGCCTCTGGTAAAGATCGAGTGTCTCCAAATTAAGTTTTTGCGATTTATTCGACGCCTTGGGCTAGCGCACGACAATCTTATGGTGGCTACAGTTCTGTATCGGATACACCTGGCAACTTTGATACGAGCAGGGGAGTCAGATTTGAAAAGAGCTAATCTCAGAAGTGATAGAGCTAGAGCAATAGCAGCAGAACAAGAGGCAACTGGCCTACCTGAACTTGGCTTCTCACTGAGAGTACTTGTCCTTGGAAAAACAGGGGTTGGCAAGAGTTCAACTATTAATTCAATATTTGACCAAACAAAAACTATGACTGATGCATTCCATCCTGCTACTGATCGCATACAAGAGATTGTTGGAACAGTGAGTGGAATTAGAATATCTTTCATTGATACTCCGGGTCTGCTGCCTTCCTCGACAAATTGTGTTAGAAAAAATCGGAAGATTTTGTACTCTGTGAAAAGGTTTATCAGGAAAGCCCCTCCAGACATTGTATTATATTTTGAACGACTTGATATGATCAATATGGGTTATAGTGATTTCCCACTGTTGAAGCTTATTACTGAAGTCTTTGGTTCTGCAATTTGGTTTAGCACCATTCTTGTGATGACTCATTCTTCCTCGACACTCCCTGAGGGACCAAATGGCTATCCTGTCAGCTATGAGTCCTATGTCACACAGTGCTCGGATCTGGTGCAGCACTACGTTCACCAGGCAGTTTCTGACTCAAAACTTGAAATCCCTGTGCAGTTGGTGGATAATCATCCTCAGTGTAAAACAGATATCACTGGGGAAAAAATTCTTCCAAACGGACTGGTTTGGAAATATCACTTCCTGTTATTATGTGCATGCACCAAAGTGCTAGGGGATGTTAATGCCCTTTTGGAATTTGAGGACAGTATCGAACTAGGGCCATTGAGTAATACCCGGCTGCCTTCTCTACCCCATCTTCTCTCATCTTTTCTTCGGCATCATGCTCAAGTGAACCCAAATGGAGCAGACAATGAAATTGATGAGATTTTTCTTTCAGACATGGAGGAAGAAGATGATTATGATCAATTACCACCAATCCGGATTCTGACAAAATTCCAGTTTGAGAAATTAAGTGATGCCCAGAAAAAGGAGTATTTTGATGAGCTTGATTACCGAGAGACCCTTTATTTGAAGAAACAGATGAAAGAAGAGTCCCGTAGACGAACCGAAAACAAGTATCCTCAAGGTGGGGATTCAACCAGTGATAATAATTCTGATAACCAGGAGCCTTCAGAGGCTGTTCAGTTGCCAGATATGGCAGTCCCTCCAAGTTTTGACTCCGATTGCCCTTTACATAGATACCGTTGCCTTGTTACAAATGACCAGTGGCTTGCAAGGCCCGTTCTTGATCCCCATGGGTGGGATCATGATGTAGGTTTTGATGGAATTAACCTGGAGACAGCTATACAAATAAGAAAGAATGGCTTTGCCTCTGTCACAGGACAGATGAGCAAAGACAAGGAAAATTTTAGTATTCAGTCCGAGTGTGCTGCTGCTTTCACAGATCTCAGAGGACCCACTTATAGTGTAGGACTCGATGCCCAATCATCCGGGAAAGAGTTGATCTGTACGGTACGCAGTGGCACACAGCTCAGAAACTTGAAAAACAATTTGACTGAATGTGGCATTTCTGTTACATCTTTTGGGGACAAATACTATGTGGGTGCTAAGCTTGAAGACAGCATCACAATTGGGAAGAGACTGAAATTTGTAATGAATGCTGGCCGGATGGGGGGTGCAGGGCAAGTGGCTTATGGTGGGAGTATTGAAGCTACTTTAAGGGGGAAAGATTTCCCTGTGAGAAACGAGAGGGTCAGGCTCGCAATGACAGCCATTTCGTTTAACAAGGAGCTAGTATTGAGGGGAAATTTACAGTCTGACTTCAGATTAAGCCGGGGTACAAGAATGTCAGTCAATGCGAACATAAATAGCCGGAACATGGGCCAGGTTTGCGTGAAGACAAATAGCTCTGACCACATAGAAATAGCTCTGATTGCGGTTGTTTCCATCTTTAGAGCCCTGTTACGGAAAAAGGCAACGGATGATCTTAGCCAGGAAACTCTGGAGATGGGGTGAAGTTTTTTAGTTTTTTGGTGCTGAACTTGTTTAGTTAGGGAGAGGACTTTGATGGCAGTGGTGTCTATATGCAGAAGCGAGATAATGAGCATTTTCCATAGCACGAGATAATGAGCATTTTCCATAGCAGAGAGGAAAGAAATTGCATGCAAAGATCTAAATAAAGCTGTGTTGAACTCACTGCTAGAAAGCATTTTTGGAAGTGTCCATGCAGAAAAAGCAGGAAGTCGATATATAACCATGTCAATTTTGAGTTTGTAATCGGTTGTTATATCAGTAACGTCGAGACTGTGGTAGTAACAGGATCCGATATAGATACAATGCAGCCACTGATGGCTGAAGTGGTTTGTACCAAGTACAGCAAGGTGATATAATTGTATAGCAGATTGGTAAGAGTAGTCCCTTGTTCTTCGATTTCTTCCATAACTGAAAATTCTAGGCGAGAAAATTGTTCCTGCGCATCATTTTCTTATTCTAGATGCTTGTGTATGAGTATGATGATTTCTTTGGATCTCTCTCTCTCTCTCTCTCTCTCTCTCTCTGCACTATGGTTTGTTTATCAGGATCAAGATACGTGCTTGTTTGCATTTTTTGCGGCCAAGCACTGTAAGTTGAATGCGTTTCAGGTATTGTTAACCCTTGGGGGGAACCCAACTTCAAGGATAACCCAACTTCAAGGATTTGTACATAAGATTCAAACAATTAATCCTATTCAATTCCATATATGGATTCATATCAAATCATGTTTTTCAATTGACTAACATGTCCATTATTAAGTAAATTGAATATTGAGTTTTTAAATAAAAGAGTGTTTTTATTCATAAATCTTATCACTCACTTTTGAAACTTAACCCTCCATAGGTTTCATCGAACTTTCATGGAGGGGTTGAAATTTACTATCCATATTGGGTCAGGATTAGTCTAATTGTTTAATCCCACTTCCCTAAAAATGAATCAAATGTAAGTTATGTGAGATTTTTGAATTATTTTTTTCTCAATTTAAGTCACTAATCCACTTTAAACCCATGAACCAAACTGCCCCAAGTGCCTTAAAAGTGCCATATTTAAGCTTCAATTTGCTTCCAACTACAAAATCAATGTTATTGACGAAGTTTGTGAGGATTTTGGATAGTGCTTCTTTCTTATCCATTATATATATATATATATATATATGTATATATATAGAGAGAGAGAGAGAGAGAGAGAGAAAATTTGTTTGATCGATTAATGTATCTCAATATTCATTATGTTATGTAATGTTTACCACAATTTTAAGACATTGACTATGAGATAAGGATTAGGAATGGAATGTTAAAAGATCCCTAAGTAAATCATATACTAATGACACTAAAAAAAAAAAAAAAAAAAAAAGGAAAGGAAAAGAGAAGGAAGAAAGTGCTCTCTCATTAAAGTTCATGAACAGTTGAATTGCTGTCCTTGTCTATTATAATTATAAGATATGAAACCATACAATGATTGCTTAGTTTAATTGTCTTCCATTAATTAACCTGATGGTGTTTTAATTGAACACTCGTTCCTTCAAAAACAGATTTTCTAACTAGGCTATGCTGTCACGTATGCACACCCTTCAATCTATAGTATTTGACTTTGCCTTTAATAGACCCTTGGTCGTCTCTATTTGCCTCCCCATGGCTTCCCGTTCTTTGCTTCGTAAATGAAATCCTAGCTGCTAGATTATACAGAAGAGCCAAACTAAGTAATGAACGCTTTCATAATTGAAGTTTGTAATCAATGGAATCATTTTATTAAACAATTTCTTTACAACATAGACAGGCACACCACAATCACAAACAAACGTATTCACAAAAATCATCTAAATTGAACAAAATAAAACTTTGTTTATGTTGGAACTTTTTTTAAGGTGAAGAACCCCAAAGAACCTCAGCAACAATGGTGGCAGCCTCGGCATCAGAAACAGAGGCCTCCCTTACTCTCTTCAATATCTCCTGCTTGAATGCTCTCTTCTCTCTCTGTCTCAACCCTTCTCCAACCTCAAGCTGCACTGCAAACCTCGCAACACAGCTCGCAAATGGGTGGCTCTCCAAGAACCTTCTCTCTCTATTCTCTCTCCTCCCCATCCCGTTTCTCTCAAACTCATCCACTTCCACACCTTTCTTCTCTCTCTCCTCATCAAACTTCCCCAAATCAATCAAATCACCACCCAGTTCTGATCTCTGTAACTCCACCAGTTTCTTGATCAAACCCGCGTTAATCATCGATTCTATCGCCTCTTTCCTCCCAAAATACCCAATTTCAAGCACACAATCCATGGCCGTCATTTTCATCAACAGATCATCAAGGCTTAAGAAACTAATGATCTTCTGGATTTCACCATTTGCCTCTAAATCATCCACCAAAGGACTCTTAATCAACTTGATTAGGGAGCATACGACTTCTAAGGACGCCATGGAACCCATTGATATCAGAGCTCGGACTGTTTGACCCATCAAAACTTGGCCTACGAAAACATCTTTGTTGAACTTTATCAAGTCTGCGATGGCGTAAGCTGATTTTTCTCGAACCCTTTTCGAGAAATTGACTCCGCAGAGAACTGATTCGAGGTCTGAAAACACCTTAGACTTGAGTATCAAATCTTGCAGCTCAGAAGAGAATCCCTGAGCTAGCCTGTTTCTGAACTGATCTATTATGTCCAGAAACTTGTCTTCTTCCGAAGATGATAAAGGAATCGCGGGAGAGAGAAACTGTTGTAAGGCTCTGGTGAGGTTAACCATAGTCTCCCGATCGATCCAAGCTTGGATTTCTGACTCGATTGATCCGGCGACTCGGGAGATCTCGTGGGTTCTGACTCGGCGAGACAAGAAAGATCGAATACCATGCCTAGACCCTGATTTTTGGAGGGTGTCTATGAGGGTTTTGAGGTTGGTGAGGTGCTTGGAGAGATTTGAGAGATGTGGGTCGTTGGAGAGAATTGAGTTTGACTCGGTCTCCAGCTCCAGAAGGGCTTTAATGGCGGAAGCCGAGTCGGACTCGGCCGAGTGCGTACTCGGGTTGGCTTGTAACTCGTGTGAAGCTTGTTTTAAAGCTTCTAATACTTTCAAGACTAGTTGGGTCTCTTCTTTTGCAGCTTCTTCTTCCATAGCCAAGCTTCTACACAGAGAGAAAGAGAGAGCGAGAGAGTTCAACGACATGTTTTGTTTTGTTGTTGCAGACTATAAATACTACAAGCTGCTGGAAGGCCACCTGCTTTTCTAACGAGTACCGGGACAGGGAAGTGTCGGTTGATGATGATTTTTTAAATATTTTTTTGGAAAAAATAATTGTGAAATTAATAAATATTTATTATTTTTTTACAAAAAAATATATTAATTGGTGATAAAAATAGGGATAAGTTATTATGAGCAATATTAATAAATAATATGTTGAGAATATTCGTTCCCAGAGTAATATTATTGGGACTTAATTCACCGTGACTTTTAAATTCACTATAAACTCTATTAAATATTAAAACTTAGTTTTAACTTAATAATTCTTATAAAATTTAATTATTATGTTAATAAATTAAATTAAAATTTTAAATTTAAATAATATTACAATCAATTTTCAACGTCATGGGGGACGGAATGACACTTGTCAAACAAAACACGCAAACATTTATTAGAGGTGCCAAAGATGAATTCATCTTTCAAACACATTTATTATAGAAAGATGAATTTATTTTAGAGTTAATGGTACTAAAAATCTTTAGTCTCTAATATTTTATTCGTGCCATATTGGTCTTTTAAGTATTAAATATATTTTTATATGATCATTCAAACAGATAATATCTAAATTTTTAATAATTTTTAATTATAAATTTGTCACATAATATCTAAATATGAACAAAAAAATAATTTGAATAACTTTTAGCTAAAATTATATTCAAATTTTGGTTAAAAAGTTACCAAAATTATACAGTTTTAATTATAAACTATCTAAATTTTTGTAAAGAGCTATCCATATTACAAATTTTTAGGAAAGAGCTATCCAAATTATTTTTTACCCATATTTTGGAATCATATGACAAATTTATAATTAAAAATTATAAATAATTTGAACATTTTCTGTTTGAGGATTATATAAAAAAATATTTAATATTTTAAGAACTAAAATGATATAATTAAAATATTAAGAATCAAAATAAAACAAATTATATTGTTTAAGGACTTCTAATACAATTAATTACTTGCCTAAGTTTCCATGACCAATTCATTGCGGGTAGGATACATGAAACATGTTGAAAGAAATTTTAGCAATGGTCAAAGAATTAACATTATGTGATAAATAATCAAATATTCTATATCCCTTCCATAGTTTGACTGCTACCAAAATTAAGAATCGAATATTAAATATATTATAATTAGATATTTTAATATCGATTTATATAGTATATATTTATATAAATAAAATAATCTTGTCCTACATAACAAATATTTGTTGACCATGAAACCGAGTCAGCATATTCGGATCAAGGGATATATGTTGACACGAACAACATGTCACCTGAAACACGTTTCTGTATTAAAAGCAATGTTTGTGTATAGGAAATTGCTTCTTAAATATTGTTTATTCATTTTTTTGTATTTTTATTCTAAGAAAAGTTTTGGGTAAAATATAGAATTAGTTCTCAAATCTTGCAATTTGTGTCGATTTGATCCGTAATATTTTTAATTATCAATTTAGGCAGTCAAGTTTTTAATTCATGTCATTTTGTCAAATCGAAAATGATTTAAGTTAACTAATGAACGTGTTCATATGTGTCTCACGTGATTATACGCTATTGGAGATATAACAGCAGTTTAGTTTATTAGAATTTTTTATTAAATTTTTTTTTTATCTTTTTGTCTTTATTGTAACTCTCATTACACTTAGTTTGTATCCCTTTTTTACTTACGTTTATTTCAAGTTGGTATCAGAGCCATAACCTAACCCTAACCCTAACCCTAACCTTCTACATCATCCATACCGGCAACCTTCATCATCAATTACAACAGCACCGCCAGCCACCAATTCCTTCTCCACGTTAAAGCCACCACATTGCCACCAAACTGCTGCCATACCAACAACAAACCAACTGAACCCTGTCAAAACCCAGCAGCACCGACATCAAACAATTCCCACAGACTGCTCACCTAGTCAAAACGCAGACAGCCCAAATCCAGCCCACTGCCCATATTAAACCGATACCCAACACACCCGCCTTCGTGCTTCCCGCTCTTCGTCATAGTGTCACTATCTCTGCGCGCCACTGTCTTTATTTTTCTGGATTGGAGCATCTAGAATTTTTTAAGAGGGGTTGAACCTTTTTTTCTGTTGATCTGTCCTTGATGCAGTAGATCACTTATTTATATATTTTGGATTTCTGGGCACCGTGACCTAATTATTTGGGAGCTTTTTGGACCTTCTTTATTTGTCGCTACTGTTCGACTGAAGGTATATTGTTCTCCCTTATTTTATTCTTCTATTTATCTTAGAGTTGTTTTTCTGTCACGGGTGCCCTAGTATTGTTGTTGATATGACTACTACTGAGGGACTTGAGAACCCTACTGTTGACACCTCTACCGTTGAGACATCTATGAGTACTTCCACTTTTATGTTTGACCAGTATACAGTACCTACTAGCACCGTTGCATTACCAGCACTACCGGACATGATCTCTCAGAAAGTTACGGCACAGTTGTTGAATGGTCGTAACTTCGCTGAGTGGTCTTGCTCATTCCAACTTTTCTTAGGCCGTGTAGGGAAGCTTGGTTGGCTGACGGGATCTCACCCAAAGCCAGCTGATGCCGACCCTGGATATTCTGCGTGGTTCTCTGAGAACTGTGTCATTCTTGGATGGTTATTTGGCTCGATGGAGCCATCTGTTTACAGGATTCACCACTTTCATAGCTCTGTTCCGAAGCTATGGAGCGCATTATCAGAGATGTATTCTCAGTCAGGACGGGGAGTTCGTGTTTATGAGCTTTCTTAGGAGCTCTCATATGCTCGGCAGGGAGATATGACCGTTCAGGATTATTATGGCTATTTGACCCAACGCTGACTTAAGTATGAGACTCTACGTCCTCTTGCTGCTATTCCGAAGATAGAGTCCGAGAGAGCAGCATTCTTGCATACTCGAGAGCAGAAGGATTGGATTCACAAGTTCCTTATGGGACTTCGTGATGAGGTTGAGGGACCTCGTTCTTAGATCTTGTCGATGTTGACACTTCCTTCTCTTTATGAGGTGTATGGGATGATTGAGCAGCATGAGCGTCGAGTCTGTATTGCATCACTTCCAGTTGCGGCTTTGACTCCTTCGATTGACCAGATGGCCCTTGCAGCTGCTGCAGGGTCTCGTTCAGGATCCTCAGTCAGGGATGGGCAACACTCAGACCAGCGCCGTCAGGGCGCCCCAAATCAGCGCAAACGGGGGGATTCCCGTCAATGTGATTATTGTGGCCGACCAGGACATCTTAGGGCTATTTGCTGGAAGCTCCATCCAGAGCTTAAGCCACCTTATCGCAGCCATACTGTTGCTATTGCTGAGGTACCACCACCCACTACCGCAACTCCTGCTGCTGCTCCTCCTTGACAGAGTGATATGGATGCTATCACTTTTTGATTAGATATACTTATGTCTGCTCTGACTTCTCATAGTCTGACTACTGCTGATGTCACCACTACAGGTATACCTCGTGCCTTTCACATTTGTGCCAGTTCATCTCCTCTTTGGATGTTGGACTCGGGTGCGAATGGTCACATGACAGGTAAGGCCCATCACTTCACCACTTTTGACGAGCCGTTACATACACAGGTTCAGTTAGCAGATGGGACACATGCCCCTATTGTTAGTAGGGGTACAGTCCGTCTCCCAGATGGCCATACATTACATTCGGTTTTTTCATACGCCAAAGTTAGCCATGAATCTATTATTTGTACATCAGTTAGCTAGAGATTTTTACTGTGCGGTTGTATTATTATCTGATTCGTGTTATTTGTAGGACCTGAGTAGCAGGAGGATTATTATCAGGGGACATGAGAAAGATGGACTGTATTATCTTGGCAATCCACCTCCAGTTTCACCAATTCCTCCACCTACATCACCTGCACCTGCTTTGTCTTTTTCTGTTCCTAGCTTGCATGCTAGTATTTTACCTAGTAGTTGTCGTTATGATTTTTCGTCACAAACTGTTCAGTTGTGCATGACCGTTTTGGACATACAAATTTTAAATATTTATGTATGTTGTTTCCTGCTTTGAGCAATGCTTGTGTTGGTGGTAAACTTGATTATGTTATATGTTCCCTATCGAAACATGTTAGGGCCAGTTATATTCCTCGCATGCACCAGTCACCCAAGTCATTTGATCTAATACACTCTGATATTTAGGGACCTTCTCCCGTTACTGCTCTGTCAGGTGCCAGATATTATGTGACATTTATAGATGATCATACCCGTTGTACTTGGGTCTACCTTTTGTATAGAAAGTCTGATGTACTCCCTATAATCACTCAGTTTTTACAGATGATTAAAACACAATTCGATGTCATTGTTCGTGCTCTTCGTTCGGATAATGCCAAAGAATATGTGTCTGATGCTTAGTGTCTCACCTTTCTTCTCAGGGTATTCTTCAGCAACTCACTTGTCCATATACTCCTGAGCAAAATGGTGTTGCTGAAAGGAAAAATAGGAGTTTGATAGGGATGGTACGTTGTTTGCTTAGAGGCATGAGGGTACCAAAATCTTATTGGTATTTTGCTGTTTTGACTTCTACCTTTCTGTGCAATCGTACGCCGAGTCGTGTTCTTCAGCATAAGGCTCCCTTACAGGTCTTATTTCTGAGCGGACACTTTTTTTCGGTCCCCCCTCGTGTTTTTGGATGCACATGTTTTGTTCAGGATCGGTCTCCTACTCGTCATAAACTTGATGATAAAGCGATTCGTTGTATCTTTGTGGGCTATTGTCATCAATTAAGGGTATCGGTGTTATGATCCTATTAGGCGCCGTATGTATCACAGTCTAGATGTTACTTTTCTTGAGCATATTCCTTATTTTTCTTCCAGTCCTGTGTCTGCCCCTCCAGTTGATGATACTCCCTTTGATTTTCCATTACCACAAGAGTCAGAGTCATTGATCACTATCCCTACAGGGTCATTCGTTTTTTCTCCAA